CGCCAGGGCGTAGTTACGCGGGTCGCGTCGGACCAGGTGGTTGAGGTCGACGGCACGCCCTGGCACGTGCGGTGCCAGCAGCGTCGGAACCCGCAGAAAGGCTCAGACGGGAGCCGAATGCCCTGCACGGGTGAGAAGTTTGGGACGACAAAGGCACACTGCCGGTGACGAACATTGTGTCGAATCATGAGTCCACGGGGGGGGGGGGGTTTCAGATTCGCCTGCTGTGCCATCAACCCCGTTGGTCGCGAACCCTGCTGAGCGCCCATCGTTATCGTAGAACGCTCGCGATGAAGTGTCAAGCGCCAGTGCCAATTCTCAGTCATTGTGCTGTGCTGAGCATGAACTGGATGGGTGCAGTGTGGGCAAAGATGACTTGTTCGTGTCCAGCAACGGTGCGGCGCTACCACCGCCTCGGTCGGATCCTCCACAGGGAGGGGAAAATCGCAGGAACCGTGGACTAGCGGTTGCGCTCGCCGGCAACCAGTCGAGTTGTACAGCTTCAGTGTCCCCACCGATCTCATTGAAGATTACGAGTGCTTGTAGATTGGAGAAAGGCATGATTGCTTACAATCAGGTGGAGACGTGGTGTGATTGTGCGGGGTGTGCGCCCTCGCCCGATCTGCCGGGGGTCAAGGGTCGGCCGCTGAGACGGTGGCAGGGACCCGACGCTCGCAGGCGCCAGTCGGTTTCTGGACGAGTCCAGGCGAGTACGTGCTATGATCTCTCACAAATAGTCCCGATTTTTCAGCAAGCTTTTGGTTTGAGCCTCCCAAATGCATAGCGACAAACCACACCTTTCCCGCGATGTCACCGACCAGCTCCCGCACGTCTCAGCTTAAAAGGGAGTGTGTCTAGTCAAGCTATGATTTTGCCTGTGCACGTAGGATTGCAGGGAAATTCGATCCACAATTTTTTTGTCGTTGGTTTTTACGAATTCGCCCCACTGACGAGATATTGCCGCAGCCCTAGATTTTGTTTGGTTTAGATGGAAGAACAAAGTTATCGGGTAGCCCCCAACCAACATTCCTACTACACACGTCGACATCATTGAGAAGGCATCGTTAGCTCTAGTCAACGGCTTTTCAAAGATGTCACTTGACAGTGCGGACAGCAGCTTGCGAACACAACGATGGCGGCGGCCATTTTGTTCACTTTTTCACTCAGCTAAGGGCTGCGAGTGTACAGGCTTAGACGTATGGTAAGGCTGGTCAGTTGATGCGCACCAATTCATGTCGGCCTACTCTATATTAAACCATAGGCGTAGAGACGTTTCAAAAAGTGGAAGGGGGAGGGACAAGCTCAGGGCGTAATTCAGATACTTTTTCTGGAAAGCAAGCCCGATGGCGGAGGGAGGCTGATAGCGGGTTATTATCGCTTTTTATTCGAATGCCACGGCTCTATGCTAGATATCCATCTAGAATTGTTTCTCACTGGTGCGCAATCTTGTCTATTCGACTCATCTGTCATTCGGCAAATAAGGCTATCCAGCTTACCAAGATTATTCGTCCATTTCAACACTGTCCGAACATTTAAACGTACCTTATAAGGTTGCTGACCTACGGCAGGTCAAAGCCTACTGAATGCGGTAGTTTCTGGTGCTCATTCCAAATTTATCGAAGACAAGAACCGCACTTCACATCCTCCATGTACTACTTAGAGGTTAGGATAGGTCACTGAACCAAAATGACCCAAGTCAACGCTTTGTTTTCAGGAACATACTGCCTAGCGTAATCTTTGACGCTTATTCAATCGTAAAACTCAAAGCAGTCTTGTATCATTTTGGCCACCATGCTGTGGAAGGTCAAACAAGGCCACTGACCTTAAATGAGCACCAGTGACATTTTCCTTAGAGCAGCTATCTAGGTAGTGAGGGGGTTTTGGACACAATCTAGAGTATGACTTTGTTTGACCTTATCTGACCCGTAGATCATGACTTAGGAATATCAGATTTTGGCACAAATGAGTTCACATACAGACCAACAAACGCTGCCAATTTGGTGACTCTAGTTCTCTTACTTTTTTAGGTCTCAGCGGGCAGTCAAATTGAACCCCATCCGAGCGAAGGGTGTTGATCCGGCCACCCTAGCGCGAGCAATGTGTGAACATGAGGAGAGAACGGTCAGCAGAATAAGCCGTTGCGCGCGGAGTGGAGCACCAACCCTTCTCAATTCGCCGTGCTATCGCCTCACGCGCGGTCCCGGCCAGATGTCCAGGTGCCGCGGCCAACGCCCGCTCCTGGCATAGTCCGGCAAGGCGCCGCCGCCACTCGGAGGTCGGCGCAGCCCCGTGGCTTGCCTGAAACAGACCAGCAACTGTCGTAAGGAAAGGACAGTAGCAGCCATCCAGGCACTGCTATGTGACATAAGTGGGGACATGCGGCACTGTTATGCCATTTGACAGAAGATCAGGACTTAGAGCATGGAAAAGACAGTCGACATAGCACACCATCGTTATTAACCACCTTTGCATGCCTTCTGCATCAACTGAGTACGCTGTGCAATGTCGGACGCACAATTATATGCGTGTTTAAACTAAGCGCAACTCACCGTTGTCCTCGCGTGGCGCGTGGCCGGCTGGCCAGGAGCGACCGCTGGCAGGGCGTCCGGTGTAAGGGGCGACTGCTGGCGAGGCGACCAACGGGGCGACCGCTGGCAGGGCGACCGCTGTAGGGGCGACCGCTGTAGGGGCGGCCGCTGGCGGGGCGACAGCCGCAGCGACCGCTGTCGGGGCGAGCGACGGGACGACCGCTGACGGGGCGACCGCCAGATCGACCACTGGCGGGGCGACCGTCAGATCGACCGCTAGTGGGGCGACCGTCAGATCGACCGCTGACTGACCGGTCGTCACCGGGCGCCATGAGATCTGCAAATGCAACGCATTTTTTGCGTGGGTGGATCCCAAATCCGAAATTGGCGCCCCTTCACCACAACATTTTGGTGCTTCTCCGGCCGAGGGGGCCCTGGCCCCTTGCAACGCCCCTGATCCGCCACTGATTGCTTCACGTCCACACTTTCAAACTGAGGGGGGTGGGGAGACTCAATACATAAATGATGGAAGGGCTCATCCCCCCCCCAAAAAACCGAAATTCACGCCCCAGGGGTCAACGCAGATTACTAAAACCATGAAGACATTGGGTAGCTGTTTCTGAGCACAATGACACGTTCCAAAATAAATGCACTTTGCACTCGCCAGATGGTAGCCGCAGCCGCATGGTCCGGTCACCCTGCCGAACAGAAGTCACTACCCCAGCCGCGGGAGCTGCCGCGGGCATTTCTCGATTTGCAAGACCACCCCCTGTGCGCCTTTCGAAGCACGCGGGAAGTGGGGGAAGGTGACGGGAAGGGACCAAAGGTGACGAACTCAACCTTCATACAAATCTTACAAGACCTGTATGACGTTTGCACATGTTCTTACTGGCAGGCCGATCACCGAGACGTAGGCCATTAATCGGTACGCAGGGGTGTACAATGACAGACCAACAAGCTAAAAAACGTGGCGTCACATCATGCCATTGCCAAAGCCATCATACCATACCACGATGAGACAATGTGTCGCCAGGCTAACAAATTCGCGAATTTGGTGTCTCTAGACGTGTAAGTTCCTGAGATCTCAGCGGAGGGGGGGGGGGGATCAAATTGACCGCCCTACCTGAGGGAAGGGTATCCAGGGGCCTGGCTGTTGAAGGCGGAGAAATGCGAGGGGTCCAGGAACCCCCTGAAGGAGCTCTTTTCGGAACCGCTAAGTTAAGAAATAATCATACTGAATGAAAAAAAGTTGGGAGGGCCGGGGCAGAAGTCGGCGGTGGGGGAGGGGTATGGAGAAAACGTTTTTAGCATCGTTTATTTCCTTGGCTCAGGTGTGAAAAAGTTACCACAGCCAGACTTGAACCAGCATCCTGCGCCACTGATATCCGGCTGTTACGCGATCGCTGATTTGTCGACCGTGCCGCCGCCTGAGGGAACCGCTGATTGGTCCACAAGGGAGAGGCGTGGATAGTGAGTCCCATTTGTTTCATTCTTGTTTCAATTTGTTCCCATTTGTTTCATTGTGTGTCAACTGGACGGATCTCCCTATTAATAAAGAAATACAGAGATCCGTCCGATCCGTCCGTCTATCCCTGTTCTCTATATTATTCAAAGGCATGAGAGGGAAGGGGGGGGGGGGGCTGGAGCTCCCCCAATCGAATAAAAAAACCACAACCCTGCTCCTGGGTCGGTCATTGGTATATTACTGTCCAGTATGGCATATTCTAAAGTCATGGACAGCTCTCATACGGTAATATTCATGACAGTGTTTACCGAGCCTCTGGTTTCACTTGAGATGGAAAAATATATATTGCTTCATCCATTTTTGGGCTTGCCATCTAACAGTTTTGAGTATCTAAAGCCCGAAACAAAACAACTCACAAACTAATACTGCCCAGTGGGGCTGTTGTGGGGCTTTTTGCTTATCACACGCACTCACGCTATCTGCCTGAGAATGCTCTACATCAGACACAGCCTGAGATCAGACACACAGATCAGACACAGGTAGTACCTGGCGAGCACACAGCACGTGTGCTCGCGAGGTACTACCAAACCGTGGGTGTACTACTGACATGGTCGATACCATGCCAGCACGACTGAATGTGTAGGCGGTGGCTTTCAAATGCGAGCAAAACCCTTCTTATCCGGCAGCATCAGAGCGAGCTGGGCATGAATGGCTTCACATGTTTCGAAGAAGTCCTAGGACAGCTACAAGCGCGCTAATCGGCAGCCCACGCGCCGCTGCCGGCTGCGCCACAGCTGTCCCATGCCATCCGGTGTGCATGCGCAGACGGCCGGCGCGCGGCGGCCGGCACCTGCCCGGCCGTCGGACCAGCGATGACAGGGAAAAAGACAGACGCTGTATGATCCCTTGGTGGCCGCTGGGCCTAGCTGGCTGGCGGGAGTGGCAACAACGAGCTGGGTTCCTCACTATTAACTGCTGCACGCCACCGTGTCGCTGGCTGAAGGCCTGACTAGCCAAAAGTGGACGCCGATTGGTTGTGGCTCCGTTATTGATTGCTGCGCTTGCTATCGGATGACGTAACCAGCCGTTGAGCCTGGAATAGAACAGCATACGGTGGTGAGACCAGACGAATCGCATTGAAAGTCATATCGTATTGTTCTGCTCGCATTGGGATACTCAGCATGGGGATTTTTGCAAGTTACCAGAAGGGGAGGGGTGAGGACCGCCGCATTCCTGGGGATTAGTGCGGTAGTGGCGGATACCCACGGTCGGTGACGTCAGCATTCCACAGCTAGTTCGCTCCACGCCAACAGGGGACGGCGAGCGCAGGAGCAGCGCGAGCAGTCCTCTGGGAAGGAGAAAATAACACATTATTGCTAATACACTATACATCAGAATCATCTGATATGACAAATCCATGCACAAAATGACAAATCAAGGAATGTGGGCACATGGAATACGCAAAACACCACTAACTGAGACCCAGGGCGTCGCAGAGACCTGCAACTTGGATAGACAGCGCTCGAATGGAGGAACTTCATATAGCACATTTCAACTACACCCCAATGTACTTGCTTCGGCAGTACATATACTAAAATTGGAACGATACAGAGAAGATTAGCATAGCCCCTGCGCAAGGATGACACGCAAAATCGTGAAGCGTTCCTAATTTTTCTTTTTGAATGGCAAAAAAAACAGCATTTTAAAAATGTAAATAGCCCCCAAAACGCGTCGTATGGAACCTTACCACATGGGCGCCCTCTCCCATAACAGCACGACACATCAATCTACTAGAAACGAATTACATTTCAAAAACAATTCGAGCATATGAAGTCAGTCGATGATCACATCATGCTACTTACTACTGCTGAAGGAGACACAAAACACTGTAAAATGCTTCTTGGTTCTCAGCTTCTTCAGGCGTCGATCATTAAAAATTGCCTGGAAAACGTATTTCGATAAAAATGACACAGCAGGCAAAGCTGAGTCCCTGGAGACCTATTATTACGAGTTAATATCATTTTGAAAACCAGAGCATTATGTCCGCAAAAGGTACCGTTCGGCAACATATTTCGGACACTACATAGATGGCGCTAGTTCCGTTACAAAAACCACGCAGGTGGCGCTGCGATCGCAAGCCAGCGCACATTTCGCTACATCGGTGCGACGCTGCATAAATTACCGCTGATTAACGGTCTGTCCACGCAAAAGAGCCATACATGGTGCTCTTAACGCCATGCTTAGTGTGAGTCACGCAAGGCAATGCTTATCCAACGCAATAAACGGGCGTCTTGTTTCGGGGTCGCCACCACAGGTTTTGACCTATAGGGCAGGATTTTCCAGGGGCCCTAATGGACAAAAAGGGCCTGCTCACCGGGCCCTCCTAAACTTATGTCCAACTCCGTTTTTTGAGCCAGGTCAGAACTGGCGCACAGATTTTGGGATCCAATTTCCAATGTTTATCATTCAGCTCAGCCCGGACTCACCGCTTGGGTTGAATTATTGGGCTCATGACTCACGCAGTTTGCAAAATCAAAGATAGCCGTATGAATTTTCCGGGATCGTCTCCGGGAAAAAATCCTCCATCCGGAGAGCCTATTTTTATACTTATTACACGGCCAAATTTGGCAATTTTCCCTTTAGCGTCCCAAATCCGTGTTGCAAAACCACGCCCTGTGGTGAAAGCTTCATGGCCGTCACACATGACAGATTCGCACCACAGCACCTCACTCTCCAGGCTACAGCACCGCTCCAAAGTGGAACACGTCCGTGTCAAGAAGCCGGTGGATCAATATCCCTGGATGGCGATCGACAGCTTGCACCAACCGTGCGGCGGCACCGCGATTTTCAAGGATACCGACCACACTGAAGACAAAATGAAGACCAATTCGGGGTCCCCCCACCGCACTTTCCGCAAACACAACATGCCAAATGAAAAATAAATATCTATGGCAGAGCTATTGTACCTCCAAAAAATAGCTCCTCATTCTCATCTCATTTTTATCTAGACCACCTTGCCAACATCAAGACCTTATTCAAACGCATTTAAAAACACCTGAATGCGCCACTTACTTCCCAAGCTGAATGCCGCGCCTGCCTTCTCACGCATCAGGCGTTCTGGATCCCGGCCAAAACGCTTGGCATCGCCCCACGCAGGTCCACGCTACTTTCTCGCCAACTGCTAACTGAAATGCAGAACAATGGCACAATTGATGAAATAGTGAAAGAGTCCCTCCGTGTTCACACAAAGTTTACTCATGCGGAAGTATGTTGTATGCACGTGCGGTGTGAGATCCTTGTCGGGACAGACGTTCAAACAGTGCTCCCGCGGTGCGTCACATAAGGTGTCAGCCATAGCTAGAACAAAAGAACCATCATGACACTTTTTTGATCGCCTGTATCAACTGAATGCATTTGGGCCTGATAGTTTATGTTTGTCCTTTGGGCCGAGACTATAGGTTCAATTACATATATTCATACATAGAATATATTACCAATCGCAGAATCTAGTTAGGACCAATCCCCTAACGTCTTCCGCGAGCTTCTATCGCTCTAAGTTTGGAAGCGGCAGGGAAGGGTGGTGGGAGTGGGGGTGGATGTCACATCGACTATCCAATCAGTCCTCGATCTGGAAGAGGGCCACCCAGGGCCGTGGTTAATAATCTTGTACCCAAACGTGTCAGAGAAAAGTCAAAAGCAAACAAACCACGTAAACATCCCCTTGTGCAATCATACTTACTCTGATTTCCTTTCTGGCACTCACAAAAACCTATCACGTGTTTGTGTTTTATTAAAGATGGCTGGTGGCAAAGCTGGTCAATTCAAGGCGACAAAGTAGCAAATCAGTGTAACATTTCGCTCACAGTTTTCATACCAGAGGTTAGCAACAGTAAGTGCGTTAGCCACCTAAAGATCAAAGCAATGGTAACTTTCCACGATCATTTCAAGACGCTTATCGCAAACCCGCCTCCGCATCGGTATCTTCGATACGAAATAGGCAGCGTTTAGGGTGAACATCGCGAATGTCAGTCCTGCGTCATTATTGAACACGGCAAAGGACACGCTCAATCTGGCACGCATCTTCACTTAAGCGTTTGTTTTTTTATGGTCCGAATTCAGCTCGAACAAAAGGCAAGTTTTCTTTAAAACCAACAAATGGCTCAAGCATAAATATTCTTGAATTACTTTGACACGTTATTCTTGATGAACAGACGTCAAAAATTACGGCAAATAATTTTAATAATGATAAGGTTTGGTTAAGATAAGCCCAGAATCAGTTGCTGTCATCTAGCGGGGCGCAGTTTCAGAGATATCAGAGCTTCGTACTATTCAGAAGACGCTAAATCGCCAAATGAAACAATGGGGGAGGGTGGGGGGGGCACTGGGGCATGTGCCTCCCTTTTAAATTGTTACGAGTGTTAATGTTCATATACAGAAATTTCGACATTGAAAAATTCAGAACAGAGGCCTTCCGATTACTACAGTGACTTTTCTGGTCCAGCACATGCCTTTCATTGTTTTGAGATACGAAACTTAAGGCGGAAATCCACGCCCAGCCATGTTGTCTTTTAATCTCAGTGCAGCATTTAAATGCCTCTCTTCAGGGCTTTCACTGAGATCCTCGGTTACATAACAAATAGCCATGCACTTGCAAGACGGAGGCAAAAAAGCAAACCAACAAAAGTGACGACGGTGGAAACCTCACCAGTCGCGCAGCACCTGCCCACCTCTTAGCCTTCCCCGACGTGGAGATACCTGAGCCTGTATTTGGCCGCTTAAGAATAATCGGTATTTGAATCTAGTTCGTAGATTTCAAGACTCACAAAACAAGGGTTCCGCAATGCTCCAGATTAACGAAAATATTGGGGTCTCCCCAAAAAATGAGGAGCAGAATAACATAAAAAAGGAACCACTCAAACCCACCTCATATTTGTTTAATTGTCAGAACTTGGTTTGAGCCTTGAGTCACTGCTTTAATTAAGCTCGACGTTTCACGTTTCACGTCTCAAGCGCGCTTTTCCTGTTTCACTGTCGTGGGATAGTTCGAAAATGTAATATTCTTGTATGGTAGTTTAATCTATATTATCACTTCAGCCATGATTGTTCCAAATAATTAACTAATGTCAGTTCCTTCCGTTGGGAATTTTCATTAGTGCCAAAACGAATATCTTCGTGATGCAAAACTAACTTAATGGCAATTTATCACAAGGTTCATGTTCATCCGAGCATTTCGGGGAGCGTGTTGTCCCAGAAATTAGACATCCGGCAATTCAATATTTACAACAGGTGAAGACAGCAACAACGTACTTTTTTACTAGTTTATTACAAATTACCCCCAAAACAGCCGACAAAAATCAACCGTGGTGCTTGTGTCCTATCTCCACAACAATGATGCGCCTACAATCACAAGCTCCAATCATATCGTCGAGTTATCATGGAATAGTGGGTTCATAAATATTTATGCAGCCCAATTAAATGTTATGACTCCTTTTTGGCATTACGCTGTAGCTGAACTCATTTTAATTGCTCAAAAGCAAATAACAGCTACGAAACTTGTCATCCGAGGAACATAGCGGAAACCAGCCAAAACACCAGGTGCAAGAAAAGAGCAAGGACATATATATATATATATATATATATATATATATATATATATATATGTAACAGCTCAAGTTGACTGAAAGATCCTGGTCTTCATGAACAAATTCGAAGGTACCGTCTCGCATTTTTTGGCTTGCCAGCTAACATTTTTGAGCACCTAAAGCCCGAAACAGAACAAATCTCAAACTGACACTGCCCAGTGGGGCTGTTGTGAGCATTTCGCTTATCACGCGCACTAACGCTATCTGTCTGAGAATCCTCTAAATCAGACACAGCCCGTGTGCTCACGAGGTACTACCAAACCGTGGGTGTACTGCTGACATGGTCGATGTCATGTCAGCACGACTGAATGTGTAGGCGGTGGCTTTCAAATGCGAGCAAATCTCCTCTTATCTGGTAGCACCAGAGCGAGCTGGGCATGAATGGCTTCACATGTTTCGAAAAAGTCCTAGGACAGCTACAAGCGCGCCAACCGGCAGCCCACGCGCCGCTGCCGGCTGCGCCACAGCTGTCCCATGCCATCCGGTGCGCATGCGCAGACGGCCGGCGCGCGGCGGCCGGCACCTGCCCGGCCGTCGGACCAGCGATGGCAGGGAAAAAGACAGACGCTGTATGATCCCTGGGTGGCCGCTGGGCCTAGCTGGCGAGCGGGAGTGGCAACAACGAGCTGGGTTCCTCACTAGCAACTGCTGCACGCCACCGTGTCGCTGACTGAAGGCTGACTAGCCAAAAGTGAACGCCGGTTGGTTGTGGCTCCGTTATTGATTGCTGCGCTTGCTATCGGATGACGTAACCAGCCGTTGAGCCTGGAATAGAACAGCATACAGTGGTGAGATCAGACGATTCGCATTGAAAGTCATATCGCATTGTTGTGCTCGCATTGGGATACTCAGCATGGGGATTTTTGCAAGTTACCAGAAGGGGAGGGGTGAGGACCGCCGCATTCCTGGGGATTAGTGCGGCAGTGGCGGATACCTACGGTCGGTGACGTCAGCATTCCACAGCTAGTTCGCTCCACGCCAACAGGGGACGGCGAGCGCAGGAGCAGCGCGAGCAGTCCTCTGGGAAGGAGAAAATAACACATTATTGCTAATACACTATACATCAGAATCATCTGATATGACAAATCCATGCACAAAATGACAAATCAAGGAATGTGGGCACATGGAATACGCAAAACACCACTAACTGAGACCCAGGGCGTCGCAGAGACCTGCAACTTGGATAGACAGCGCTCGAATGGAGGAACTTCATATAGCACATTTCAACTACACCCCAATGTACTTGCTTCGGCAGTACATATACTAAAATTGGAACGATACAGAGAAGATTAGCATGGCCCCTGCGCAAGGATGACACGCAAAATCGTGAAGCGTTCCTAATTTTTCTTCTTGAATGGCAAAAAACAGCATTTTAAAAATGTAAATAACCCCAAAACGCGTCATATGCAACTTTACCACATGGGCGCCCTCTCCCATAACAGCACGACACATCAATCTACTGGAAACGAATTACATTTCAAAAACAATTCGAGCATATGAAGTCAGTCGATGATCACATCATGCTACTTACTACTGCTCAAGGAGACACAAAACACTGTAAAATGCTTCTTGGTTCTCTGAGCTTCTTGAGGCGTCGATCATTAAAAATTGCCTGGAACACGTATTTCGATAAAAATGACACAGCAGGCAAAGCTGAGTCCCTGGAGACCTATTATTACGAGTTAATATCATTTTGAAAACCAGAGTATTATGTCCGCAAAAGGTACCGTTCGGCAACATGTTTCGGACACTACATAGATGGCGCTAGTTACGTTACAAAAACCACCCAGGTGGCGTTGCGATTGCAAGCAGGCGCACCTTTCGCTACATGGGTGCAACGCCGCTTAAATTACCGATTAACGGTATGTTCACGCAAAAGCGCCATACATGGTGCTGTTAACGCCATGCCTAGTGTGAGTCACGCAAGGCAATGCTTATCCAACGCAATAAACGGGCGTCTTGTTTCGGGGTCGCCACCACGGGTTTTGACCTATAGGGCAGGATTTTCCAGGGGCCCTAATGGACAAAAAGGGCCTGCTCACCGGGGCCTCCTAAGCTCATGTCCAACTCCGTTTTTTGAGCCAGGTCAGAACTGGCGCACAGATTTTGGGATCCAATTTCCAATGTTTATCATTCAGCTCAGCCCGGACTCACCGCTTGGGTTGAATTATTGGGCTCATGACACACGCAGTTTGCAAAATCAAAGATAGCCGTATGAATTTTCCGGGATCGTCTCCTGGAAAAAATCCTCCATCCGGAGAGCCTATTTTTATACTTATTCCACGGCCAAATTTGGCAATTTTCCCTTTAGCGTCCCAAATCCGTGTTGCAAAACCACGCCCTGTGGTGAAAGCTTCATGACCGTCACACATGACAGATTCGCACCACAGCACCTCACTCTCCAGCCTACAGCACCGCTCCAAAGTGGAACACGTCCGTGTCAAGAAGCCGGTGGATCAATATCCCTGGATGGCGATCGACAGCTTGCACCAACCGTGCGGCGGCACCGCGATTTTCAAGGATACCGACCACACTGAAGACAAAATGAAGACCAATTCGGGGTCCCCCCACCGCACTTTCCGCAAACACAACATGCCAAATGAAAAATAAATATCTATGGCAGAGCTATTGTACCTCCAAAAATAGCTCCTCATTCTTGTCTCATTTTTATCTAGACCACCTTACCAACATCAAGACCTTATTCAAACGCATTTAAAAACACCTGAATGCGCCACTTACTTCCCAAGCTGAATGCCGCGTCTGCCTTCTGACGCATCAGGCGTTCTGGATCACAGCCAAAACGCTCGGCATCGCCCCACGCAGGTCCACGCTACTTTCTCGACGACTGCTAACTGAAATGCAGAACAATGGCACAATTGATGAAATAGTGAAAGAGTCCCTCCGTGTTCACACAAAGTTTACTCATGCGGAAGTATGTTGTATGCACGTGCGGTATGAGATTCTTGTCGGGACAGACGTTCAAACAGTGCTCCCGCGGTGCGTCACATAAGGTGTCAGCCATAGCTAGAACAAAAGAACCATCATGACACTTTTTTGATCGCCTGTATCAACTGAATGCATTTGGGCCTGATAGTTTATGTTTGTCCTTTGGGCCGAGACTATAGGTTCAATTACATATATTCATACATAGAATATATTACCAATCACAGAATCTAGTTAGGACCAATCCCCTAACGTCTTCCGCGAGCTTCTATCGCTCTAAGTTTGGAAGCGGCAGGGAAGGGTGGTGGGAGTGGGGGTGGATGTCACATCGACTATCCAATCAGTCCTCGATCTGGAAGAGGGCCACCCAGAGCGGTGGTTAGTAATCTTGTACCCAAACGTGCCAGAGAAAAGTCAAAAGCAAAAAAACTACGTAAGCTTCCTCTTGTGCAATCATACTTACTCTGTTTTCCTCTCTGGCACTCACAAAAACCTATCACGTGTTTATGTTTTAATTATGATGGCTGGCGGCAAAACTGGTCAAATCAAGGTGACACAGTAGCAATTTCGTGTAACATTTCGCTCATAGTTTTCCTACCCGAGGTTAGCAACAGTAAGTGCGTCAGCCACCTAAAGATCAAAGCATTGGTGACTTCCCATGATGATTTCAAGACGCTTATCGCTAACCCGCCTCCGCACCGGTATCGTCAATACGGAAATAGGCGATGTTTAGGGTAAACGTCGCAAATGTCAGTCCTGCGTCATTATTGAACAAGGCAAAGGGCGCGCTCAATCTGGCACGCATCTTCACTTAAGCGTTTGTTTTTTATGGTCCGAATTCAGCTCGAACATAAGGCAAGTTTTCTTTAAAACCAACAAATGGCTCAAGCATGAATATTCTTGAATTACTTTGACATGTTATTCTTGATGAACAGACTTTAAAAATTACGGCAAATAATTTTAATAATGATCAGGTTTGGTTAAGATAAGCCCAGAATCAGTTGCTGTCATCTAGCGGGGCGCAGTTTCAGAGATATCAGAGCTTCGTACTATTCAGAAGACGCTAAATCGCCAAATGAAACAATGGGGGAGGGGGGGGGGGGCACTGGGGCATGTGCCTCCCTTTTGAATTGTTACGAGTGTTAATGTTCATATACAGAAATGTCGACATTGAAAAATTCAGAACAGAGGCCTTCCGATTACTACAGTGATTTTTCTGGTCCAGCACATGCCTTTCATTGTTTTGAGATACGAAACTTAAGGCGGAAATCCACGCCCAGCCATGTTGTCTTTTAATCTCAGTGCAGCATTTAAATGCCTCTCTTCAGGGCTTTCACTGGGATCCTCGGTTACATAACAAATAGCCATGCACTTGCAAGACGGAGGCAAAAAAGCAAAACTAACAAAAGTGACGACGGTGGAAACCTCACCAGTCGCGCAGCACCTGCCCACCTCTTAGCCTTCCCCGACGTGGAGATACCTGAGCCTGTATTTGGCCGCTTAAGAATAATCGGTATTTGAATCTAGTGCGTAGATTTGAAGACTCACAAAATAAGGTTTCCGCAGTGCTCCAGATTAACGGAAATATTGGGGTCTCCCCAAAAAATGAGGAGCAGAATAACATAAAAAAGGAACCACTCAAACCACCTCATATTTTCGTAGTTGTCAAAACTTGGTTTGAGCCTCGAGTCACTGCTTTAATTAAGCTCGACGTTTCACGTTTCACGTCTCAAGCGCGCTTTTCCTGTTTCACTGTCGTGGGATAGTTCGAAAATGTAATATTCTTGTATGGTAGTTTAATCTATATTATCACTTCAGCCATGATTGTTCCAAATAATTAACTAATGTCAGTTCCTTCCGTTGGGAATTTTCATTAGTACGAAAACGAATACCTTCGTGATGCAAAACTAACTAAATGGCAATTTATCACAAGGTTCATGTTCATCCGAGCATTTCGGGGAGCGTGTTGTCCCAGAAATTAGACATCCGGCAATTCAATATTTACAACAGGTGAAGACAGCAACAACGTACGTATTTACTAGTTTATTACAAATTACCCCCAAAACAGCCGACAAAAATCAACCGTGGTGCTTGTGTGTCCTATCTCCACAACAATGATGCGCCTACAATCACAACCTCCAATCATATCGTCAAGTTATGATGGAATAATGGGTTCATAAATAGTTATGCAGCCCAATTAAATGTTATGACTCCTTTTTGGCATTACGCTGTAGCTGAACTCATTTTAATTGCTCAAAAGCAAATAACAGCTCCGAAACTTGTCATCCGAGGAACTTAGCGGAAACCAGCCAAAACACCAGGTGCAAGAAAAGACAAGGACACACACATATATATATATATATATATATATATATATATATATATATATATGCAACAGCTCAAGTTGACTGAAAGATCCTGGTCGTCATGAACACATTCGAAGGTACCGTCTCGCATTTTTTGGCTTGCCAGCTAACATTTTTGAGCACCTAAAGCCCGAAACAGAACAAATCTCAAACTGTCACTGCCCAGTAGGGCTGTTGTGAGCTTTCGCTTATCACACGCACTAACGCTATCTGCCTGAGAATCCTCTAAATCAGACACAGCCCGTGTGCTCACGAGGAACTACCAAACCGTGGGTGTACTACTGACATGGTCGATGCCATGCCAGCACGACTAAATGTGTAAGCGGTGGCTTTCAAATGCTAGCAAATCCCTTCTTATCTGGCAGCAGCAGAGTGAGCTGGGCATGAATGGCTTCACATGTTTCGAAAAAGTCCTAGGACAGTTACAAGCGCGCCAATCGGCAGCCCACGCGCCGCTGCCGGCTGCGCCACAGCTGTCCCATGTCATTCGGTGCGCATGCGCAGACGGCCGGCGCGCGGCGGCCGGCACCTGCCCGGCCGTCGGACCAGCGATGGCAGGGAAAAAGACAGACGCTGTATGATCCCTTGGTGGCCGCTGGCTGGCGGGAGTGGCAACGAGCTGGGTTCCTCACTGGGAACTGCTGCACGCCACCGTGTCGCTGACTGAAGGCTGACTAGCCAAAAGTGAACGCCGGTTGGTTGTGGCTCCGTTATTGATTGCTGCGCTTGCTATCGGATGACGTAACCAGCCGTTGAGCCTGGAATAGAACAGCATACGGTGGTGAGACCAGACGAATCGCATTGAAAGTCATATCGCATTGTTGTGCTCGCATTGGGATACTCAGCATGGGGATTTTTGCCAGTTACCGGAAGGGGAGGGGTGAGGACCGCCGCATTCCTGGGGATTAGTGCGGTAGTGGCGGATACCCACGGTCGGTGACGTCAGCATTCCACAGCTAGTTCGCTCCACGCCAACAGGGGACGGCGAGCGCAGGAGCAGCGCGAGCAGTCCTCTGGGAAGGAGAAAATAACACATTATTGCTAATACACTATACATCAGAATCATCTGATATAACAAATCCATGCACAAAATGACAAATCAAGGAATGTGGGCACATGGAATACGCAAAACACCACTAACTGAGACCCAGGGCGTCGCAGAGACCTGCAACTTGGATAGACAGCGCTCGAATGGAGGAACTTCATATAGCACATTTCAACTACACCCCAATGTACTTGCTTCGGCAGTACATATACTAAAATTGGAACGATACAGAGAAGATTAGCATGGCCCCTGCGCAAGGATGACACGCAAAATCGTGAAGCGTTCCTAATTTTTCTTCTTGAATGGCAAAATCAGCATTTTAAAAATGTAAATAACCCCAAAACGCGTCATATGCAACTTTACCACATGGGCGCCCTCTCCCATAACAGCACGACACATCAATCTACTGGAAAATAATTATATTTCAAAAACTATTCGAGCATATGAAGTCAGTCGATGATCACATCATGCTACTTACTACTGCTCAAGGAGACACAAAACACTGTAAAATGCTTCTTGGTTCTCTGAGCTTCTTGAGGCGTCGATCATTAAAAATTGCCTGGAACACGTATTTCGATAAAAATGACACAATAGAAAAAGCTGAGTCCCTGGAGACGTATTATTACGAGTTAATATCATTTTGAAAAACAGAGTATTATGTCTTCAAAAGGTACCGTTCGGCAACATATTTCGGACACTACATAGATGCCGCTAGTTACGTTACAAAACCCATGCAGGTGGCGTTGCGATCGCCAGCCAGCGCACATTTCGCTACATCGGTGCGACGCCGCATAAATTACCTCCGATTAACGGTCTGTCCACGCAAAAGCGCCATCCATGGTGCTGTTAACGCCATGTCTAGTGTGAGTCACGCAACGCAATGCTTATCCAACGCAATAAACGGGCGTCTTATTTCGGGGTCGCCACCACGGGTTTTGACCTATAGAGCAGGATTTTCCAGGGGCCCTAATGGACAAAAAGGGCCTGCTCACCGGGCCCTCCTAAACTTATGTCCAACTCCGTTTTTTGAGCCAGGTCAGAACTGGCGCACAGATTTTGGGATCCAATTTCCAATGTTTATCATTCAGCTCAGCCCGGACTCACCGCTTGGGTTGAATTATTGGGCTCATGACTCACGCAGTTTGCAAAATCAAAGATAGCCGTATGAATTTTCCGGGATCGTCTCCGGGAAAAAATCCTCCATCCGGGAAGTCTATTCTTAAGCTTATTCCACGGCCAAATTTGGCAATTTTCCCTTTAGCGCCCCAAATCCGTTTTGCATAACTACGCCCCTGTGGTGAAAGCTTCATGACCGTCACACATGACAGATTCGCACCACAGTACCTCACTCTCCAGCCCACAGCACCGCTCCAAAGTGGAACGCGTCCGTGTCAAGAAGCCGGTGGATCAAGATCGCTGGAAGGCGATCGACAGCTTGCACCAACCGCGCGGCGGCACCGCGATGTTCAAGGATATCGACCACACTGAAGAC